GCCTACCTAAAACGGCTCGTTCTAACACGCCCCCACATGTCTACGTCACTGTGTGGGAAGATTTGCATAACGCTGCCTAAATGTTCATGCAAAGAAAGAAGGAGTAACTTTATTGTTGCTGCCGCCACTATGTTGTGAAGACGCTGTGTGTTTCGTTGCGAAAGCGAAAATACTTAGTTTGGCCTTCCAAAAGAGGACTCGACTAGAAATCAGTGGTTAAGTTGTATTTACAACACTGTTCCAGAACAGTTCAACCCAAATATTCCATTACACCAAATACACAAAATAATGTTCTTTTTAGCAACATCATATGACCCCTTGAATTGTATTAAAATAGATAGCAATTGTTTTAAATTTGTTATAATATTTCACAGTGTTTTTTCATTGTGTTTTGATCAAATGAATGCCACCTTTGTGAAAATAAGACACTCTTTTCAAAAAGATTTTAAAAATCCTACCGACCCCACATTTTTGAATGGTACAAATGGAAATCAGCCGCAGAAATCGCTATACATTTTTAAAAACTGATGTGAATGTCTGTCTTTAATGTGTTAATAAGCTGCCGCGGCTCTGAGAGAGATTGGCGCTCTGGCTCAGAATCCGGTCACCAGTGAGGACAGACTGCTAGTGACTGAGAACGCTGCTGCAAACCTCCTCAGCCTGGCCGCACACATCGCCCTCGAGGTTGGCCATATTATACCAGATTCTTATGACTTTTCTCTCATCTGTATATTTCAACACAATAATATTATAAGACAGCAGTCACTGTGCCTTTTTGTTTGGTTTAATAAGCCACATAATTGTCGGTAGCTCGGAAGTATTTCAGCAGTATTTTTCACCACAGCATGAGCAGCAGGAAACAGCCGTCAAAGCCCTAGAGAGTCTGTGTGAACACTCACAAGATGTTACTCAAATCCTCACTGCCTTGAGGTCAGTCACACATTCATTTTGACCTTTGACCCTAAGCTTCAGCCCATAATGCTTATATCAGCAGCAAACAGGAGCACATCAAGTATCTCTGCTATAGAAACATCATTTCCTCATCTTTCTTTGTCAGGTGTTTAGTACGACTTGTTCTTACAACAATGGAAAACATCAGTGAGGAAAACAGGTTAGTAGATCAGTGGTGCAGTGGCGCAAATTCAGCAAAGCTGCAACTCTATCTATCACACACTCTGTTATTAAAACAGGAATGCCAACTTGGATATCCTCTTGTCTTACCTAAAAACAGGTACATTTACCCATAATACTTCATTACACTTTGTTGTTTTAATCAGTCATATTTCTCCACACTGATTTACTGTATGCATACTGGATTTACAGCTCTTGAGAAATTATCACAAATCAGCCAGATTCAAGGCCACGGAGCACAGCAGCATTCAGAAGACGCCAACTGGTTCAGGAAGATCGGTGCTTTATTCCTAAACCTCCAGCTTTTGAGAGATTTATCTATTTGTTGGTTGTGTTTGACTGATTGTGTGTGTGTGTGTTGTCTCTGTCAGCGTGGAACTCGGCCCTGCAGTGTGAGCACAGTCCTGTGAGGATGAGGGATTTCTTTCTTCTCTCCTTCCAGGTAAGTTCAAGCACAGTTCCTCTTAGTAGCTGCAGGCTAGTTCATAATCACATTAACGCAAACCCACGTGTTGATACTGTAGCTGTAGTTAAGTGTAGTTAAAGCGAGATGTGTGATGTGCTGTCTGGCTGGGCAGCTGTCGCAGCTGTGCGCCCCAGACCGAGGTATGTTGATGGGGCAGAAGACGTGTCTGCTGATGGCCGCTGCTGCGTCTCTGGAGATCTGCAGGAGCTCTGATCACACTGAGCAACAGGTGGATCACTCACTCGTTTTTAGCAGTTCATCACTTCCACCTGATTAAACAATAACCAGGAGGCAAGAGGTGTTTTGCTTGTTTTTAAAGACAAGGTGGAGCCTTGAAACTTGACACTGTACAAATTCTGAATATGGACTGAAGTTGTATGCTTAAAAGCATGATCATTTCAAGGGTTTTCTAAGTGAAATTCCTTTTTGCTTTCTTAAGCTACAAACTCTCCACATCAGTGTTAGTGGGCCTATGTATTTTCTCAGTATTACTGAGTCCAAGGCCTCCTATTGTCCACAACACTATTCGGAAGCCCAATACTCTATAAATGAAATTTCTTGATTCCAGAAGTTGAAAATTCTTAAAGGGATAAATGAACACACAAGAAGATATTTTGAAGAATGCTGGTAACCAAACAGTTGCTGATAGCCATTGACTTCCATGGTATTTTTTTCCATACTGTGGAAGTCAATGGCTACCAGCAATTGTTTGGTTACCAACATTCTTCAAAATATCTTCTTTGTGTTCAACAGAAAAAAGAAACTTGGGTGTCAGGTCAGGGTAAGTAAATGATAATAACATTGTAATTTTTGTGTGAACTGTCCCTTTAAAGTTTCCCATTCTGTCTAACCAATGACTTTCCCAGTCATTTGTGATATACAGGACAAGGGATAAGGAAAAATAACATTTTTTAAATATATTTTTTAACTCACACTTTCTAACTCACTTTCCACAAATGTATTATTAAAAATCATAAAAAACACCAGTAGAGTTTTAATAATTTTATTCATTTAATAATTTAATGATTTGTCCAGGCCTAGAAATCACACTTTTGTAAAATTAGGCAACATAACTAATCCAGGTTTTCCCTGTTTCTTCAAAGAAAATAATAACAGTTTTTGAGGCGAATTAAATTAAGAAATATCTTACTTTTTAGTTAATTTAGCTTATTTTAATGGCTAATAGCTTATTTTATTTTAAATTTTGGCTCCCTTGGAGGTTTGCCTAACCCCCTGGTTGAAAATCACTTTTCTAGGAGTTGCAGAATTAAAATATATTTTTTTATATATTTAATATTTACATAAACATACAATTATTAAATATTAATATTCATTTATTTATTATTGGTAAGTCTAACCAAAAAATACTCTTGATTGCTTTAATATACTGACAGCCCTTCATTTTGTTAAAGAAAACAAGATTTATTTCCAGCAGAAGTACAAAAGCAAATATCAAAGCCCGTGTAGGGGGTTCTCCAATATTTTTTTTTGACAATGGGAGACCTTGAAGTTGGAAAGTTTTGAGAAACACTACTCCACACGTGTTCTCTGATCTCAGTTTATCCTTGTTACTATGACTGACCAGCAGAGGGTGCAGTGTATAATATCTGCTGTGCTTTCAGACTGAGCTCCTGACCCACACTCTAGAGCACATTCAGCTCTGTAAAGAGATCTGGACGACCATCAAAGCATCAGGTGTCACCTACAATTTTCATTCTTTTACATATGTTGGATTCTACATGCAGACTCTACCTGTTTGTCCAGAATGACAAGGATCTTAAGCATCTTTCTGGCACATTCTTTCCTAGGCACTTCCTCTAAAGACAAAACAGACACATTATTGCTGCTCTATGAGTTTGAAGCCCGGGCCAAATTAAATGATCCAAAGCTTGAATCTGTGCTCGAATCAGTTTTGGAACTGGATTACATTGAGACCAAGCTGCTAGAAATTATCGCAGGTGAGCTTCTAGAACCATAACCTCTTTTTTAAAGAATTACATATTTGAAAGATTTATGGATGGTGAAATACTGACTGAATGTGTGGATATACACTACCATTCAAAAGTTTGGGGTCAATTTCTTTTTTTTCTTTTTTTGAAAGAACTGAATACTTTTATTCATCAAGGGTACATTAAATTAATCAAAACTGACAGCAAGGACTTTTAATGTTACAAAAGATTTTTATTTCAAGTAAATGCTGTTCTTTTGACCTTGTTATTCATCAGAGAATCCAGAAAAAATATCAGTTTCCATAAAAATATTAAGCAGCATGACTGTTTTCAACATTGATAATAACGATTCTTGGGCACTAAATCAGCATATTAAAATGAAGACTGGAAGACAGTGAAGACACTGAAGACTGGAGTAATGATGCTGAAAATTCAGCTTTGCCATCACAAATAAATTACATTTCAATATATATTTTTTTGATGTTTTTTTTTTGTTGTTGTCTTGGTGAGCATAAACAATTAAAAAAATCTTACTGACCCCAAACTTTAAAATGTTAGTGTATAAAATACTATAAGCTCTGATGGTCCTGTACTTTGTGTCTACAGTCCTGGCGATGGAACCACCGGCCCATTTCCCTGTTCTGTGTAAGAAAGCACTGAGAATCGCCTTGTCTCTGCACAGAAAACAGCCACAGGTCGACCTCACGCGCTGCAGGTCAGACTAGCCAAGCGTTACTTACACAATTAATTTACCAGACTGATAACAAAAGACACCAAACTGTTCCTCATATGACACACACCTTATACATGTGTGTGTGTCACAGTAACTGTTTACACAGCCTGATTCAGCTGACCCTGCCGAGCGGCGTGTCTGAGGCGCAGCCCTGCGTGCTGGAGGAAGTGTGGGGCTACTATGAGGAAGCTCTTTCCATCATAGCAACCGCAGTGAGTTGGTTACTATGACTCAGCAGCCGTCACACACGACCTGCTGCAGCTCAGCCCTGCAATTATCCCCATCTTTAAAAGAATCTCCTGTTTCTGTCAATGGGCTTTTAGTTATGCCTCAGTTCGCAGATGCTCCATTCACCAGCTTCTTCCTGCCAATTTGGATGCTAATTTGAAATCTCGCCTGCGTCCTTTATCTTGAACTAGCGTTGCAGAAAACGTGCATAAGCATCAGGGTGCTATTCTGAATTCGTGACCTTCACGACACCATCGATATGAAATCACATTATAGAATTCTGCAGCTATTATTATAGCACCTGATCCATTCCTCCTTGATATCAATAACGCAGTGTTTTTTAAACCTCTCCATGAAGTACCCCCAGCACTGCACATTTTGTATGTCTCCCTATATCTGACACACCCACTTCAGGTCTTGCAGTCTCCACTAATTAGCTGATGAGTTGAATCAGGTGTGATAGATGAGGGAGACATACAAAATGTGCAGGGCTGGGGGTACTCCAGGACAGGTTTGAGAACCACTGCACTGACGGACATCTTGCTTTCTCACACAGCCCGAGGACTTTCCAGAACTGGAGATCCTGTGGCTACTGACCCGAGCGTGGAATACAGGAATCCTGCTCTACAGTCTGGCCCAGTATCCCGAGGCCGAGCGGTGGTGCGGGCTGGGAATGAGCTTCCTCAAGCACCTGGGCTCCCTGCAGGACAGCTATCATTCTCAGGTAACGCTGCAGGAGGCGGACGGGCTGCTCTACAGCTTGAGTGCTCGACCCAAGGCGCTGGATTTCATTTTCATGTTTCATATTCTCCTTGCTTCAAGTCAGGTGCGCGAGCTGCTTTTCTCATCACCTCAGTAGGAGGCTTAATTAGAGCAGCAGGTTTGGTTACAGCTATGTAGGTCGGTAGTTAAAGCAACTTGCAGTAGTTCAGCTAGTATTTTAAATGTCATTTGGCAAGAATGAATTCAAAAATTCACAAGATAATATTCAATAAAAACATTTTGTTAATGTTGTCCGTTAAAAGAAAACGTGGCAAGGTGTGAATAAAATACATGAAATGCATCTCCCCAGATGGCGGGTCTGTACAGTGAGGTGTTGGACAGGCTGGATAAAGCAAAGAAGAATCTCATTATTGAGGAGTGAATGACGGCGTCTTCAGTCGCAGATGGAGATCTCAGGTCTAACTGCACGTGTTTAATATGTAGTGTGAATTTCTGTGCATGTTTTTGAGAAGCTAAGAGATGTACAATGCATCTGAGGGGTTTGTTCGTACGGTTATGAAATGGTTCATATTCATTTAATCTGAAATATTTCTGGCAGTATTATTTTATTACCTGTCATCTGGTTATCTGTTTGAGCTTTTCTCGGTTGACTAGTTCAAAACATCTGCATTGCGATACAAAACAAATAAAAATGCATGCATTGAAATCATAACAGAGTCACATAGTTTATTTCCAAACAAATAAACTCTTGTCCAGTCCAAAAAAAAAAGAAACAAAAATAATAATAATCGGTAGGACTGTTCCTTCCTGACCAGGATATAAAAAAGCAGTTTTCCTTGTGTCCTGATGGGTTGTGCCACCTGTAATCATGGGGAGGACACTACTGTACAATCAAAGGGTTCATATTTGCAAGCACTTACTGCACAGGTGTGCTGTCACATCAAAAACTCATAATCACTCAAAAAGACAAATCAGACCCATTCCTTCCCCATTTCACGCTCATGCCTTCCAGAGCAGAGACACTCATTAGTACACCAGAGCTGTTCTGATTCAATCCACTTCATTAGAAATATAGTAAAATGAATCAAAATTCTTTGGGCTTCACCAACATGGCTGACCGGCATCAACAGTGCGAACGGTCAGCTGCTTTTCCGCTCGTCACCTCAGAGGACCAGATCTACACTAAAAGGAGTCATTTAAGCTCCTGGTTTACTTTAATATCAATCTATGGGTTGCCATCCGCATGTCTTTTTATATATATTTATATTTATATATATTTTTACATTTGTTTTTCATCTATACACTCAGACAAGTTCCACAAGATATCACAAGTAGACAGGCCGTATTGTAGGGAAGCTGTTCCCGACTCACTAAAAAAATGTTGATAGGCAGCTGAAGATATTTTTTCTATAGAGAAATACCAACGTTACGGCACATTTGTATGGAAATTAATCTCAGAATAAATTCAAATTTACTTACCTGACATTTGTGATTTATAAAACATGTTTGTCCCAGTTGTATCACACATGCATGAAGCACAAGTGAGGGGGATATTTACACTTTACAGCGATCATACCCATTAAAACAGTCTGTAAGCAGTTTATAAATGGCTCTGTTCCCTTCGATTATTCCCTGAACTCTGGTTTTGACACAGGTATGACAGCTGACTTCGCAGAGACGCTTGGCAGGTGAGCGCACCGGTTTAGAAAATGCCTGCGGGGGAAGAGAGTGGGCCCAAGAACTTCCCTCGCTTCCTGCGGGATCCAGACTTCTTGATACAGAAAGAAAGATCGAAGGAAGTACTGTACTTCTGTATCCTGTTCCGTCGCGATCCCGTTCCCTCCGGCTGAACCCAAGGGTGACCACAGACATAGTGCTTACAAAGTGTTTCAAATAAAAAATTTTAAAAAAGGGAGGACTAAATATTTAGAATACACAAGTATAATATATCCGCATGTCTGGGTGTTCAGTTAGAGGAGAGAAAATCATCCCATTTGAGTTCATACTCTATTCCATCACAATATGATCGCGGCCCTTTAGTATTGTAAAAAAAAAAAAAAAATTGTAGTAATTATCCATCAGATTCCTGAGCTCGCCAAGCTCGCCCCGGCACAAGGCTCAACACAGTGAAGTAAACATCAGCCCGGAAATGAAGGAGCAGAAGAAAAAATTGTTAAAAAGCTGTCATTACAAAGAACAGATTTAATCAAACCATCGTCGAGTTCTGGGGAAAACGGTCAATTTCAGGCTCCACTAACGCTTTAATATCAAGAAGGACATCCAATACAATTATTGTCTTGATTCTACCCGTTTTAAGTCTGCGCTCCTGGGCAGCTAACAGGACAGTACCTTGTTACCGTTCAGTCTGAAGAGAATATAGTCATGGAAGGCAGAGGAAGTGCAAGTGGGCTGTCTGCTTTTCAACAACTCCAATGGCGGCCGAAATTGGATTTTGCTTAAGACAAAAAAAGCTTTGCAAAAAAGGATTTCACAGAGGTAAGACACTTAAGTCTATTGCACTCACAAGTTAGGCCTCCAATAGGATGACGGGAAACTCACAAATAGCACTAAAATCGAGTCTCCCTCTAAGCACTGATAGGTTGAATATTGTATCGTTTCCCCCCCCCCCACGATTGACAGGAATTTGACAGAAGCGTTTATTCATCGTAAGGCAGTTTGGTGGTCTGCAGAGAGCCCAGTTACACCTCTCTACCCCCATCTTTAATACAGAGCAGCTAAAACCACAAGAAAGAAAGAACAAAACCCAAAGACAAGAAAATGAAATCTAACAGCCCTCCGAGTAGACAATTCTAGTGAAGTGTAAAATGTGTACCGTATCATTTTGTATTATGTAGTAAAATCTCTCCGTAGGGTTTTTATTTTCCATGTGATTTCAGTAATAGAAATGTATAGACTCAAACCCCGTTTTCCATTTTGTTCTGCCTTCGAACGCGTCGCCATACAAACGGCCAGGCAACCGATCGAGTAAAGCGAGCTGGTTTGTGAGTTCTGTTTTGAAGTTTATCCGTTAGAAACATGAGCAGTGACGGTACCATCAGCAGGTTTGAACTGTATCTAGTCCTCATAAAAAAACCTCGCACAGCATCCTCAAACGTCTTTCCATGAAATCAAATGAACATATACAAGGTTCCCGCTTGTGCCACCATCTCCAACTCCCCGGCTCCCCATTCTCGCTTTGTTGAGACATTCTCATCTCCAAGTCCGTCCGAAACGCACGAAAGGATCCGCTCAGGTTTCCCTTTTTTGTTTTACATGACAAAAAATTTCTTTAGGAATGGCATTTCCAATCTTGAATGGAATTGCTGAGAAACTCATGCAGGGGTGTGCACAGTCACAGTAATGGTGATGAGACGTCTTTCAATTGAGGGTAACATAATGATGACACTAAAACTTGATATGAAACATATCAGTGAAAGGGAAGGAAAGGTGTCGGGTGGGAGTGGGGGTCAGGTGGGGGGGCTCCGTGGAGGCGGCGAGCTCAGAGCTTCTCTGCGGACGGGATCCAGATGTAAGGGCCTGACTGCTCCTCTATGATCAGCTTGATTTTATTATAGATCTCATCTAGCGAGTCACCCTGGACTATGGCTGTGTAGACAGAGAGAGAGAGAGAGAGAGAGAGAGAGAGAGAGAGAGAGAGAGAGAGAGAGAGAGAGAAACAGTCATACTACAGCACACAGTAACAGAGGGAGTGGACTAAAAGATTCTCTCTGGATACAGTTAAGAGAAATCACATGATGGTGGGGGTTACCTGTGAAATACTCTCCAAACTCTTGTTCGAGCTTCATTGCCTTATCAAAGACTTTACTGGCTTGCTCATATGTCTGCCTCTTATTCAATTCCCTGATGAACACAAAGAAGTGCATTACTTATTTCACATTGCATAAGCACATGCACAGAATTATGAGACAAAATGTAGATAACTACCATTTAAAAGTGTAAAAGTATTTTTTTTGTTCACCAAGGCTGCATTTATTTGAACAAAAATGCAGTAAAAACAGTAACTTTGTGAAATATTATTACAATTTAAAATGGTCTTTTTTTAATATATCTTACAATGTAATTTACTCCTGTGATGGCAGGATAGCTGATTTTTAGAAGCCACTACTCTAGTGTCACATGATCCTTCAGAAATTGTTCCAATATGCTGATTTGCTGCTCAAGAAACATTGCTTCTTATTATAAATACTACAAACAGTTGTGCTGCTACATTTTTTGTGGAAACCAAAAGAGCAGCATTTATTTGAAATAGAAAAATTTTCTAACAAAAATATAGAACCTTCAAATTTAACACATCCTTAACACAAAAAACGCAAAAAAAAACAACAAAAAAAAGTATGATGATATACATGACACCAAACTTTTGAACAGTAGTGTATACATTTAATTTACAAAATCTTAAACTTACATTAGGGCCTCCACAGATTTTGGCTTGATGAAAATGGCGATTGGATAGAGCTGTGCTTGCTGCAGTCGCTTTATCCCTACAAGAGGATAAAAGAAACCCTTTCATCCTGTGTCACTCTTTCACTGCACACAGTAATTGCCACAGGGAAAATATTGAAGGATTAAACAGGAGTTCAGATCCTCTGGCATGTTTACACTAGGGAGTCACTGACCCTTTCAGCCACTGCCCGGACAGACAGGATGCTGGTCCCGTACAGATTCTCATTGAACTGGCCGGCCTCGATAAATTTGTTGTCCTGAATGTCCTTCTCCATTTGCTCCCTTGAAGCCACAAAGTGGTAGTCCTGGCCGTCCATTTCATTCTCTCGTCGAGGACGAGTTGTATCTGAAGAAACGTGTGTATGACTTGCTTTACTTTAGTACCGCTAAAACATTTGATGATAAAGATGTTGTACATGCAGCCAGCATGGCCTTTTCTTATTACACTCACGTGGGACGCAGGATCCAAACTTGTGGGGAAACTCTGAGATCAAGTCATCGTTTACTCTGTCCTTCATTGGACCCAGGATAATCACAGGCCTTGTGTAATGGACTGAAAAGAAAGCCAGATCAATGTTGGTCAAAAACTTCCAGCCTTGAGAATAATTTCTTGGCTTTCCTCATGGAGGACATATCATGGAAAAACAGGATTTTTTTTTTTTTTTTTTTTTAAAAAA